AGGCTGGGGAGGGAGCGGCCGCAGGGGCGGAGCGCAGAGGCAAACCAAAATACACCGCGCCCCGGCGGGGCGGGGTCTGGAGGGCGCCAGCCAATGCGCACCTAGCCCGTGCGCCGCCGGCCAATGGGCGCCGCGGGGAGCCGCGTGATCAGAGCCTGGCAGCGGCGTGATCGGGCAGGGCGGGATGCTGCATGTATTTTGGTGGCGGCGAGGGGGCGGAGCTTGAGGCCCTGGAAAGTAGGGGAAAGGTCGCGGCGGCGGCGGCGGCGGCGGCGGCGGCGGCGGCGGCGGCGGCGGCGGCGGCGGCGGCGGCGGCGGCGGCGGCGGCGGCGGCGGCGGCGGCGGCGGCGGCGGCGGCGGCGGCGGCGGCGGCGGCGGCGGCGGCGGCGGCGGCGGCGGCGACGACGACGACGACGACGACAACGCAGCTGCGGCCGGGGAACTCCCCGAACGTGTTGGGTTGGCTGGGAGGAGGATTACGCTTAAAGGGGCCACCGCCCGCAGCCTCCCGGAGCGCAGGTCCCCATGAAGTGAATCCGTCCAGAAGAGGCGGCTCACCTGGAGACCTCAACCCAGATTTTGCTTTCTTGTTTTTTAATTGGTATTAATCTACCGTCGCTCTTAGGAGTGCATCCCTGGCCTGGAAGAGTTTTGAAAGCTGGCTAGACCCAGGTGACATCGCCTGCATCTGCTTCTTACCGCAGCTTCTAGGCCTGTGTCTCCCGCTGACCCTGGTCCGCAGGCAGTTCTGGGCTGCAGTTTCCGCTTAGCTCAGTGGGGGTGGGGGGCAAGACGGGTGCCCACCCGAGAGGCACTTGGTGAAACCCATTCTTCCCAGACCAGGTGTAAGCGTCACCCCCTATGACGTCCTCAGGCCTGAATGAGAGAGATGCCCAGGACACCTTTTTTTCCCCCAGTACTTCGGTTGCCTGTTTCTCAGGGTGCGGTTTATCCAGTTCTGCAGCTCCAGGTTCCTGAAGTGCAGGCTGTGTTTATGTGTACCCTCACAACCTGCAGCGAGGCATGAGACAGCCCTTCATCCATCCACGTGGCCCACATTTGCTGGGTTTGGATATGGCTTGGCACAGCGTACGGTGCAGAGGCCACAGTGACGAAGACTTGACCCTAAAAGCTAAGAGCAGGTGACAGTAGAGGACCCTTGCACTGTGGGGATTGACTCTGAGCAAGAGAAGCTCTGGGCCCGAGGAACAGGCCATCAGAGCACCAGGCCCTCTCCCGCAAACTGATAAGGAAGCCGGTGGGACCCAGGGCTCTGGCCAGCTTTTCCTCAGCAGGCCTGCTCTGTTGGGCAGAGGGAGCATAGGCTGACCTGCAGCTTCTCTCCATTTCATCTTCAGATCCTTCGCAGTACCTTTCATGGCCTGTAACTTCTGTTTCTTCAGTTATTTGTTAATTGTCTCTCCACCAGAAGGAACCCTCCCAACGTTAGGGACCTTGTCTAATTCACTGTGAACCCCCAGTGCCTGGCTCGCTGCAAGTACGCAGTAACCACTGGTTGAATGAGTGAATGAAGGCCAACACCACCTGGCCTGCCCACTTGGACATGCTGCAGACCCCTCTACTTCAATGTCCTTGAAACTGAACTTCCATTCTACCCCAGTCCGGGTTTCTCGCCTCCTGAAGGGCACCACCAGATACCTCATTCCTTCACCCAGAAATCTGAGAGTCACCTTTGACCCTTTCTTCTCCTGCACTTGCTTCCTTCTGCCAATTACTTCGTGTTCTTCTTCTTCCTAAATCTCTCTCAAACTCTTAACTTCTCTCCATCACCTATTCCTGCTCTGGTCCAAGCCACCAGCTTCTCTCACCTGAATTATTCTGCTGCTTCCCAACAGGTGCCCCTACCTCTGGCTTCATCACCTGTAATCTGTGCCTCATCTCACTGCCACAATGATCTTCTAGAAGTAGAGATGGTACCAAACCCATAATCAAACCCTCAGTTTGGAATCCAAACAGCTATGGGACTGAAACTTACTCCTCAGGTGGGAATCCATGAGTCTGCGTTACCAGGCCCCAGCCAGTGCTTGCTGCGTCATTCTGACCAGTTCCCCAAATCCCTTTCCCTCCTGCCCCCATTGCCTCCGTACGGAACCCTGTGCCGCCCACACCAGGTCAGATCACTGTCTTCTGCTTTGTACGTGGAACACCACAACCCTTCTCCACTTTCGCTCTGTAAGACTGCAGTGTGACTCCTCAGCGAGGTGCTTCCTGACCCCCGAACAGCAGGAGGACTCAGCCAAGTGCTAAGTGCAGGGTTTTGGAGTCACACCCGGATGCAAATCCCAGCTCTGCCAATGTGGCCAGGCCACGTGGCCGGCTATGTCTCTGCAGAATAGGAGGTGGCATCGACTCTCCAGGAGTCTGGAGCACAAGCTTCTCTCACCTCCAACTCAGTTTCTGCTCCCTGGGCAGCAGGA